TTTTAGCTGGCCAGGAACACACTATTGTAGACCATGTTGGCCTTGAACTCATGGATATCTGTCTTCCTCGTCCTTCACGCCTAGCCCCATTCTAGAAGTTTTTTTTTAAAAAAAAACATTTAGACTGCCTTCTTAAAGCACAAATTAGACATGCTTTAATATGCTGGTATCTGAAAATCTCAGAAAAATGTTGTAACATGGTCTTCTACAGCAGGCCCCAGGACTGCTGGAAGTACATGTCCCTCCACAGACAGCCCATTGGCGTCTTGATCATGTATGTGCTCGGTAGGTTTCTTCAGGTATATGCTTAAATACATATATGCAAATGTATGTATGTTACTAACTTACTCCTTGTTTCCTTCTTATCTTTAGCAGCTATGGGAGGAAATTCACCCTTGTCCCTTTGATTTGCTAGCAGCAAAACAAGTGAACCTAGGAGCTGAGAGGCTGACCCAAGCTCATTTTGATGAGTGTACTTCATGCATCTAGAAGTAACCACAGGATGAAAGTTATGAAGGCAGCAAAACAAGTGGACCTAGGAGCTGAGAGGCTGACCCAAGCTCATTTTGATGAGTGTACTTCATGGCCCCTCTCTGGAAGATCGCCATTGTGTACCCAGATCCTAGGCCTCTAATGAACTGAACTCTAGCCTATGGCTTCCTCTTGCTTGTCAAGACACCCCAGTCCCCTGACAGCCATGTGGCTGCTGTACAGGGAAGCACACATGTCACAGGGACTGAGCACCAAATGAGCACTCCCAAGGCCTGGGAAGCCAGAACTAAGGAGGTATGTGGGTAACCCTGGTTCTGCTGGTGTTGCTTCAAATGGTCCCAATGTGGATCTGCTTCTAATGCTCTCACACGAGCTAAATGAGAACTAGAAGGAAAAACTTTTGAAAGATAGGGTGACACTGCAGGTCTCTGCACAGGGGAGACCTGAAACTGCAGCTAGCTCCTTCAAAAACAACGTCTTTCAGGCCAACAGAGTAGCCCTCACATGTGCTATAATGGTCACCATTAGTAATACTTCCAGGTCTCCACAAAATTGCCAGCTCCTCTGCATCAAGACAGTCACGCACCAGAGCACACTGTGCACAGCTGGAAGCAACAGAACCCAAACCAGACATACAGTTGTGTAGTCAATGGGTATTACCTAAGTTATGGCCACATAACCCACGATAACTCGGAACACCCTACAGTCACAAAGAATAAAGCTGTCTAAGCAAACACGTGGAACCAACCCTGCAGAGGATCCTACTCATGCATTTGCAAATGTCTATGTGGCTGCACAGGTATGCACACATTCAAATCCATGGAGGAGGCCTGGAAAGGGGCATAGAGTGCAAGTAGCAGAGGGTAGCTGTGGAACAGCCCCTCTGAGATGTTTGAGAAGGTTCGACAGAGGCCACTGGCAGTCTGGGATGAGGGGTCAGGGCCCAGAGCCACTGGCTTAGTCATGTTACTGGACAAAGGGCTGCCTATCAAGGAGGCTGGCACTGCTCTGAGAGGTTGCTTCCTCCTCAGCAGCTGTGTCAGAGATTACCCATGAGAAGAGGGGCCAGCAACATCTTGAAAATGAGGTTCTGAGGTCAGAGTATATGTTAGGAGGAAGCTGAAATACCCTGTCCCAAGAATCATATGCATATCAAATCTCTGCTTCAGTGGAAAAGGTAACTTTTCAGTAGGCAACAGCTGAGATCAGTCTTACTCTATTCCCACCCACTGTCTCAAACATGACCAGGAACCTCATTCAGGTCTACGGAGAAGGTCTATGCTCAACACTATGCTCACCTTTCTCATAGGGCCCCAGAGCCACTGAGTGGCCCAGCCCAGGCAGCACACACAGGGACATTTTTGGTCCTGGGTGCTCGAAGGAAAACAAGGCACAAAATCATTTTAAAAACATTCTTTGTGGGAATAGGTAGGAATGTATTCAGGATGTCTCTGTGAAGATTGAGCGACCATCCATTGAAGGCCTGCCAGCCATGTAGGACTCTCCAGATGCTCAAGAGACTAGGCCTTCTGTAAGTCCTCACTTTTTCTCCTCAACCTCCTCAGGCTCCAAAAACTATGCTTAGCAAATTTCCCAAGTCTGTGGCTTATGCTGCAGCATTTCTTTGTTTTATGCATTTGCTGTAACATCAGCAACTATAGAAATGTGAGAGGGCAATGGTTCACAGATCAACTACTGGGAGGAGGGGCAGGAGGGGCAGCTCTGCAAAAAGGTGATGAGGTGGGCAAGCAAGATCACAAGAGATGGAGCTGGAGAGATGGTTCAGCAGTTAAGAGCACTAGCTGTTCTGGCAGAGGACCCAGTTCAGTTCCCAGCACCCACGTGGTGGCTAACTACCATCCCTAACTCCATAACTCCAGTTCCAGGGGATTTGACATCCTTTTTGGACCTCCACTGCATGGCATGACAGGAGAGCATTTACATACACAACATGCAGGCAATACACTTATACATGTAAAATAAAAATAACAAGTAAAATATTAGGAAAAAAAAAAAAAAAAACAGGAGAGCCCCAGGGAGGAATCCTTGCACTTCCCAAAAGCCCTCCCACACATGGCCTCTTTTTCCCCCAAAAGAGATTCCAGGTGTTCAGCGCACATGTCATCAAACCACCCAGAGGCCTTCGAACACCTTACTAGTCATAGAGCAAAACAGTACAGAGCAGCAGGCTGGCTACAGTGGCTGTAATATTCACTCATGTCAGGAGACCCCCAGAATACTACAAACCAAACCACAACCATACCAGCGGCAAGGCTTATAGGGAAACCCCAAGTGTCTAAGAACCATCCGGCGGGATTCTCTTTTCTGTGCCCCACCCCCAGCAAATTCCCAGATAATCCTGTGAAGGTGAGTTACTTAAGCTCTGCACACCCCGAAGGGGCTGGCAACGGCTTCCCGTGGTTGCCCTAGACTAGCTGAATACGTCCCGAGGCAGGTGTTTGAGATGTGCAATTCCCATCATCATAATCACCCGGTACCAAATACAACGCAGTTTAGCACCCGCTCTCCAGGAGGCCCTCACACCCACAGGAACCCAGGAGGTGGGATCTCCCTCTATCTCTACACCCCGGGAGGGCGGAACGTGTTGCCTAGTCTTAAAACAGACCTTATAGCAAACTACTGATACTCAAAAAAAAGGTTTGTTCGGTCCTCTTCTACCTGCCTTGAGGGACTCCAAGCCTCCCCCCGAAAGGAGGATGCGGTCCCCAGCGCCTCTAGATGCCTTTTCAGTGCCAGCTGAGCCCGAAAGAGAGGGCGAGCCAAAGAGGAAAACCTCCGGGACCCGCCCTCCCCACCCACC